AAAAAGATCGCGGCAAGGGCCTCGCCGGCTGACGAATCTCGTAAATGAATCCAGGAAAGCTTGCGAAGAGAGGTCATCGACAACCTCAATATGCACCGCCTTGGTTGCCATGTAAACAAAAATGGCTAAATATGTCTTTACCTTGGTGCGTGACCGTTTGGCGCCAACGCGCACCGTAAACGGACCGCAATAGTCGACCCCTGAAGACACAAACGCCCGTGAAGTACTGATACGTTGTCTTGGTAATGATGCCATTTGCTGCGAAAGAGTCACGCCACGGTGTCGGCGGCAGATAACACACTTCTGTCCGTAACTTCGAACGGCTTGTCTACCATTCAATATCCAATAACGCGAGCGTAGAGTTTGGAGTACCAGTTGCGGTCCACCATGAAGCGTTGTTTCATGTGCATGTCTGATTATCAGCTCGACTAGTCTACCGTGTTTAGGTAAGATTATGGGGAACCGCCTATCTTCTGGCAGATCAGCCTTACTGATGCGGCCTCCGACGCGCAGAACGCCTGTGTCATCCATGTATGGATTCAATGACTTTAGCTTGCTGGAACTAGATACGCCAGTTCCTTTTCGGATTTGGGCCAAATCAACTGCAAAGTTCTCGTGTTGCTCATTTCGAATCAGTATATTAAGAGCGTTGTCGATTTCTGTTGGGCTGACTACCAATGTACGCAAATGCCGCCGTGTTGGAAGCCAACGTAGAAGAAGTGCTGCCGTACGCACGAGTGGCAGAAGTGAACTGAAGCGCTCACTCAACGGAATCATCTGGCCATCACGTCGACGAGTAGTGAGAGCTGGCTGATGGGTTGTTGTCGCTACGAAGGAGGAAACTCTTTGTTCGCTTTGCAGAATATTGTGCTCCTCGTCGTTTAATTCAATCACAGAGAAGTTGGGTGTATGCTTATCCATAATCCATCCTGGGCCCTGCCACCACAGTGGATGATCCAGCAGCTGCGATGCCCGAATACCTCTACTGGCGCAATCTGCCGGATTCTGAGCTGATCTTACATAATGCCAACAGTTTGGTGAGGTTAACTCATGTATTTGATGCACCCGGTTCGACACAAACGGCTTTAGAGTAGTGGGCGGCTTGCGTAGCCAACACAACACAATCCGAGAATCAGACCAGAGGTAATAAGGAGTATCTGTTAATCTCAAGGAAATACGTACGTTTTCGAGGGTAACAGCGAGCAAATGTGCGGCACAAAGCTCCAGACGCGGGATCGTTGCTCCTTTAAGGGGCGCCACCTTGGTACGAGCCGTAAGCAGTGATACAGCTGAATGACCTTCCGCATCTGTGACTCTAATATATATTACAGCTGCATACGCGAGCGTACTGGCATCGCAAAATCCTAGCAGGGTAGTAGCTCTTCCTTCAGCCATACCTAGCCATCGCGGAATCCGGATTTTGTTTATTACGTCGAGTTCGCTGTAAAAGGCTACCCAGGTGGTTTGAAGTTCATCTGGCAGTGGTTCGTCCCATGACAAGCCAGCCGCCCACAACCTTTGTATGAATATTTTTCCAGTAATAACAACTGGTGCCAGTATGCCGGTAGGGTCGAATAATTTTGCGACGGCACTTAGTACCCGTCGCTTCGTTAGGAAGCCTAAGCTCTCTTTCAGATCTACCTTGAAAAATAGCTCATCTGCTGCTGCATCCCATCGAAGCCCAAGTACAGTTGCTGTTGGTGATTCGATGGTCATCTCTACGTTAGGAGAACGGTTGCCAATCAAGCGTGCTAATACTTCACCACTATTGGAATTCCATTTACGTAAATGGAAGTGGCCTTCAGACAATATGGAAGTCACGTTGAATGCAAGTTCAGTTGCATTTTCTTCAGTGTCACAGCTGGTAAGAAAATCGTCGACATAAAAAGACGACAAGATCGCATCGCGTGCCGCTATCGATTGTTGACTATCAGCGACCACTTTGTAGTTGTCGTATGCGCATTGGTTGAGTGCGCGGACCGCGTTGTAGGGACTGCTAGCCATACCATAAGTCACCGTTGTAAGGCGGTATATAGTGATGTCATCGGTTGGGGACTCTCTCCAAATAATGCGCTGAAAATCTCTATGCTCGGGTTTAACAAGTACCTGTCGAAACATCTTCTCAACATCGGCAGACAATGCGATGCGAAAGCGGCGAAAGCGAAATATTATGTTAAGTAGCGGATCTTGTATTGTCGTTCCTACCAGCTGAACTTCGTTCAGGGAGACGCCGGTTGTAGTTCTCGCCGAGGCATTGAACACAACGCGAAACTTCCCCAAAACTGCATGATGCGGGATATAAAAGCCCGTTTCATTATCGTTCAATGAGTATGCGCGCTCCATATGGCCTAGGTCTGCATATTCGCGCATAAAAGCAATGTATTTCTCCCGGAGTTCACTATTTGCTGCCAGTCGCCTCTCAAGAAGGTAAAACTGTCGTAATGCATGAGTATAAGAATCTCCCAAAGCCGGCGCATCAGGACGAAATGGTATGCATACAACGTAGCGTCCGTCAGGTGTGCGAGAGTGGGTGTTACAAAAAATTCGTTCGCATTCGGCATCTCCATCATATTCTAGGGAGGGCACTTCCTCTAACTTCCAAAAACTTCGGAGCAGTTCCTCCAAGTGTATGTCCTCGTCGCATAGCTGCGTACTTAATGCGAGAGTTGGCAACGTTGAAGGTTGTGCTGCAGAAACTGGGCCAAATATGACCCACCCGAAAGCAGTGCGTTGAGCGTGCGGCTCACAAGGACCGCCAAATTTGAAGTCAGTTTCGACAACTTGACCCCATACGTCAGCACCAATTAGCACGTCGATATTACCGGGAACGCCGAATTGTGCATCCGCTAATTGTATGCTGGACAAGTGCTTCCACTGTGTCATGTCAATATACGTTGCGGGGATGACCGTAGTAATTGACGGAATGACAAGCGCAGTTATCTTCAGCGTAAAACTAGTATGGGCAGATTCTAATGTGAGCGAGACGCTACCACGAGCGCGAGCGGAAGAATGGGCACAAATTCCTTGGACAGGGATATCACATTTACGTCTACGAAGAGATAAAGAATTAGCTAACTTATCTGTAACAAAACTGACCTGCGATCCCGGGTCACAGAGCACGCGCGCCATGCGTCGAGTCGTTGGGTCACCGTATGCATGAACGCGTGCTGTCGCTAATAAAACTGTGTGATGCGCATTGGTATGGCAGGTGACCGCCGAAGCTTCTAGTCAGATGGACTGATCCTTGTTCATGGGAACCGGTTGAGTGGTTGTCGCGGTCAGCCCTCCTGCGTTCGTAGATAAAGTTTCCCGACAAAGCAATGAGTTGTGCTTCCGATTGCAATGTCGGCAAAGACCCGAAGGGCACTGCTTAGCTGAATGTCCCAATTTTAGGCAATTGAAACAAAGCCTAGCGGCTTTAAGGGCATTTACACGTTCTTCGTGGTTCATTGCAAGAAAACGGGTGCACTTTGTAGTGCGATGCGGTCCTTGACAGTATGCGCATTTTCCTTCTTCTGCAGCTGCGACGTGGGATTTTACAGTACGTTGTGAACTAGTGCGCTGTTGCCCTCGAGATGTAGCGTCGGTCCTGCTGGACCACGTGACAATGGCTGTGGAGAGGCTGTGGGCGCGTTGGCGCAAAAATGACAGTAGCTCATCTAACTTCGGAATTTCGGTAGGCGAACAACTCATGTTCCATTCACGCTGAGTGACAGTTGGAAGCTTAGAAACTATTATGGGAACAAGCATAGCATCCCACTCTACGACTGGCAGCCCCATCACCCGTAACGAACGCAGTGACTCCTGCACTGTATCGACGATGGCCAATAATGATTCTGATGAGTCCTCTGACGATGGCTTAATGTTAAGAAGACGGGACACATGTGTTTCGGCTAACTGCTTCTTATTGTCAAAGCGCTCCTTCAGAGCACTCCATAATTCGCCATAGCCGCCCGAGTATACACTTCCCACGAGTGGCACTGCATGTGAGCTAACTGCCTGTCGCAACTTCCCCAATTTGTAGGCCTCAGGATACTCGGTGTTGTGCACGAGTAATTCAAATGCGTCCTTAAATGCTAACCAGGTTTGCATCGTACCGTCGAACGTTGGAATGGCGAGTGGCTCCAACCTAAACTCACATTCATGCGTATGCTGCCTTCCGGCTTGTACGTTTGGCTTCGCACCTGTAATCGCGCGGTTGAGAATGCAACAAGTGTCGTTGTATATATCTTCCACTTCTTCCCAGAGCGTTTCATGAGCCTCAACCTCGCCCTTTTCCGCACTGGCCACCAATAGCTCATGGTTAGCCACAAATCGCGCAAAGTGGCTTGAAACCGATTTCAATTCTTGCTCTAATTGGAATTCGTCATAGGAGCCAAGTTTACTCGCTTGCACTCGTTCATATATGCGTTTAATTGCTTTTATAGCCGACGCACGCAACCTTAATTCCGCCATTACCGAAAACTTAATAACTTTAAATTTAATGCAATTTGACCTCACAGGAGGCACCAAAATGTTCTGTACAAAGCTTAATAAAACACGTTATTTCTCAACACGATTA